TGCCTAGCCTATTGTACTGTATAAAGTATAAAATTACATATAGGGTGTCCAGTAAATCACGAAACAACAAAGAAACTTTTTTTTATTTATAACTTTATGCTTGCATTATTAAATAATCTTATGTGACAAAATGTAATGCACCGCGATATTTTTTTAATCATGACGAGAACGAAACAAGCTGAAAATGTGGGAACATGAAACTACAAACTTTTCTTGTCTATGTATTGATCAAGCTGGCTAGTTTTTAGTGTAGACTCTTAGTGTAGGACAAGAAGCTGTCAAAAAAAACTCCTCAGGCGACTACAAGTTCCAATTTAGCGCATCGGTGACGGCGACATCGTCATGACGATCTGCGAAAGACCGAACTTTCTGGCTCATTCCGTTGAGAATTGATAAACATTTTATGAGAGCTTTGAAAATGCACAGCTGGTGATTTTAAACTCTATCGAGTTCGGGGTATTTACATGAGCGAAGTCCAATGGCAGCATTAGTTTTTAGTTTCAATATGACTATTAGTTGCTAGGTAAAGATTTTTCTGTCTCAGTCTAACCAAGGCTTCCAGTGTATGATAAGGTATTTTCGAGATTTGTTCATCTCTTGTCGGTTTATTTCAGAACTAAAGACTAGTTCTGCCATTCGGCTCTGCTCAGTTAAATGGCCTAAACTTTGATAGAGTTGAAAATGACCAGTTGACCAGTTTCAATTTCGTAGAGTTTTATATCCCTACACTTCTGTTTCCAGTGGTGAAAACCGCAGATTTCGTGAATGTTTTGCTTTGGAAATAATTCAAAAATATCGGTGTATACTTAGTCGACGGCTTATATGATATGGCTGATTTGCATTATAACTTGTTCATGTAAAGCGAAAATATAATATTTTTCTTAAATTGACTGAAGTTTTTCACTAAACCGACCAGACAGTTTAAAAAAAACAAGTTCCGACTTTTATTATTGTGAATAATTTTATTTAGATCAACCCGGTGAACAGGAATATTTTTCGAATATAGATGTGATAGAAGGTGATGAAATAATGAATATAGATGATGATCAATTGTTAAATATTGAAGCAAATGAAAAAGATAATGGTGATGAAGATTTTATTGATTATATGATCAACAACAGTTTGATTACTGACAACTGGAATTTGGATATATCCAGTAATGATGATGCTGAACTAATAGATAAAAAGGAAATTTATATTTTGATGAAAAAATGTCGTTCATTCATTAGTATGATTAATAAGTCAAGTATATTAAAAGGCTATTTTGATCAATTACGTGCTACGTTAGATAAAAAACGTAGTCTAGCTGATGACTGCGAAACTAGATGGAATAGTACTTTTTATCTTATCGATTCGTTTATTGATTTGAAAATTTTAATAGTAAAATTTTTTCGTGATAAAAATCTAATGGATGTACGACGTGCTTTAATTAACAAAATGATTTCTATTGAGTTACAGCACGATGATTGGGTACTTCTAGCCAACATTCATATGGTTCTGAAACCGTTTGATTGAGCGACAATATTACTGTCGGGCCGTTCCTATCCAACGGCTGGTTTATGTTACTACGCAATTAAAAAAATTCATAATTTCCTAATAAAAGATTTCAACGATAATACACAAGTTAAATCATTAAAAAAATTATTATTATTGACATATGAAA